TTGATAAGTTTATAAGTCCCTTATGTGGGCATCAGATTTAAGAATCACGCCAATCATGTCTTTATACCCCTAGAGAGGTATATTGGGTCCTCTCATAATGGGGCATATACAACAGACTCTGTGTTTAGCTCACGTGATTTTATGTCAGTTAATAGTAGCTCCCACAGTCAGAATCTAGTGTATTTGATTAGGTTTTTATTTCATACTTCAATATTCGGTCTCAACATGGTATGTTCATAACCAGTAATTGGTCATTGTATTTATCTCAACATTTCAATTATGTTTCAGTATGTATAGTCTTGTTCAGATAGTATCATTGCTCTTGTGATTCGTTTAGTTTATGTATTTATTTAGTTATAATATATATCTTACAAGCTTAGTATATTCTATTATTGATGTAGACTCTGCACTACATCCTTTTCATGATGTAGATTCAAGTACTCAACATCCAAATCATCCATAGATTAGCTCCCTATTCGTACTCAACAGTATCAGTCGTGAGTCCTCATACTTCGAGGACAATAGACATTTTTCCATTTAAGTCTTTTATTTCAACTTCAGTTTTGCCAAAATCAATTGGGGGCATGTCGTGACAATAGTCAATTAGAGGCTTTTTTAGACATAGTGTTAGACTCAACTTTAGTTTTGAGTGATTATTCAGTATCACCAAACTCTTAAATATTACTTATAAATATTCATATCAGTATAGGGTACTCACCTCATTTCGTTAACTATTGTTTGAGTTTTCCATTAATTCTTATTTTCTTAGGTAAGGCCAATGTGCTTATGTTATGCAAGAAAGGGTTAGCATGGGGTCACCCGCGATCCTAGGTCATGTGCTTACGTCAATGGGTAGCCTCGGGGCGTGACACCAACGCCTCCTAATTTACTTAATTTTAAGCTCAGAGTAAAAAATTTATGCCTATTTGAGTGACGCTTCTCTAGTTAAGACTTTTCATCCATTTAAGGAAGCGATATTTTGGTCTTTTCCTTACTCAAATAGGTTGGATCACTTTTTCTCACCCAATTATGGGGTCTAATCATATGCTTAGTTATTATTCATATTACTGAGCACTTAGAATTTTGGGGAAGAGTTTAAAAAAGAGAGAAAGGGCTATTTCAAGCATCCATCAGGAGTTGTGGAATTTCGCCAAAATAATCGTTCTTTCCAGGAATGTGAGGTTTCCCGTAGTTATGGACTATTTCTTACACACTCCATTGATGTAATTGTTCCATTAATTCATTCTTGATATCGTTTGTGTAGAGATTCTTAAGTAGTTTGTGAGTTTTAGATTCATTCTTTAACAATGGATGTTTTGAGTTCTTGAGGTGATGGTCTTGCGAATGACTAATGTTTCTTGAGAGATTTTCTGTGTAATTCCAATTAATTTTAGTTGGGTTTGTGAATCAAAGAGATTTTGGAAGAAACCATTTTATTCTACATGAGTAGGACTTGAAATTGAACAAGAAAGTTTATAAAAAATTTGGGTTCAAGGTGGGGCAGCGCGCCCCTTAATTGCCATCCCTGGGTATTCAGCTTTGGAGATGGCGCCCTGCACATGCAGTGCCTCCCAAAAAAGCCCAGCACCTTTGGGGCTGGCGTGACACATCACTCATACACCAGGACGTCAGATCTTTTATTTTTTGTCCTTCGTCCCGTATGTGTTCTATCAAATCGTGTCTATGTTCTCTTCTTGATATTAACTCTTAAAGACTTTGATAATCCTTGAGAAATCGTTCATGTCCTGATCACATGTCTTAAATTACAATTCAAATTAAAGAAAAGTTAAGAGAAAAGTTCAAGAGGTCCTTTTTTAGTCATTTTGAGAAGTCTTTTGCAATTAACCATAGATTTGAACTAAGTCTTGAGAAAATAAATATAAGAATAAAATGGGTTGTAGTCGTGATTGGAAAAGTGTATAAGGGAGTTAAGTATCGCATTGAGGCCCTTGAGTTGCTCGTTTATAATGGTCCTTGAGTTGATTCATTTATGTCTATATTTCAAAATAAATATGGATTGTTGGTTATACAAATGTTAGAAGGTTATTTAATTTACATAAAGAAAATTATGTGAAAGGATTTTCATATTATCATTCAAGTTATGCCAATAAACTAACAAACCAAGTGGCTCAACACATAAAAGACGTGTGATTCTTTTAGAAGAAAAGATGAGCTTCAATAAAATTGAAATGATCAATATGTGAGTCAGATAAATATTTAACTATATCGATGTAAAATATTTATTTAATCCCCATAAAGCTTGATCGTAAATGAGATACTTGTTTACATGTGGAGGCACAATAATATTTTTGCATTGAAAGAATCTAACACTAGTAATCATTTCTTCGATCATGCAAAAATAATATTGATTTACGAAATTAGTCAGGGGCGTGTTTAGTCGAAATCATGACCTATCATATTCAGAAAATATGTGATTTTTCTTTGAAAAGAGAGATGTCATATACCATATAATACGAAAATAATTTATAGCTTGATTGAAGGGAGGATATAACCAAAGGAGACCAGACAAAATATATTTCACCAAAATTCTCTCACACATGTTCTTCAATAAAATGGTGAGATACACGTTCAAAAATTCGTTCAAGTGATAATCTTATAAACTTACTCACTAAGCATTGTCAACATCAATATTTGAGAAGTTGAGATGTGAGATTGGAATGCATCATCTCTGAGATATCAAGCAAAGTTTTTATCGGGGGAGAAAATAGACGTTGCGCTCTTTTTTTTAACCATGATTTTGTCCCTAATTATTTTTCCTGGTAAGGTTTTTAATGAGACAACTTTCAAAGCATATTAAAATATATGTGTACTCTTTTTCCTTCACTAGAATATTTTTCGATAGGGGTTTTCCTAGTAAAGTTGTTAACGAGGCATATTATTTATGGATATCTAAGGGAGAGTGTCATAAAATAATATCGTGTGGATTTCCACTACAAAAATAGTTACTCTCACATACATTACTTTCCTAAATTATGAAGATAACATCCACATTTATGACTATTATTCTTGTAACCTTACACCTCCATAACGTGTTTCATTATATTGTTGATTAATGTTATGTTTATGACTAGTTTATATTTCTCTATGTTACCCTATAAATAGAGGCATAAGTTTTCATATTGTACACAGTTTAATACTTGGATGAATAAGAAAAACTCTCATATCTTGTCTACCTATTTATATTCCTTTCATCTTCTATATTTCTTTTCTTATTTTGCTTTAATCTTACAACATGTTTACTTATTTTACACTATTATTTGTTAACCATAGACAAATAAAATATATAGCTATAATTAACAAAAGAACTGTACATTTAAAATAAGTATCTTTTGGATGGTCAAAAATTTCATTTTTTGAATTATAGAGAAAAATACTTAGATTTACTTAGAACATAAAAAGAAAGAAAAATTACAATGTTTATAGTCATATCATAAATTTTGTGAATGAAGAAAAATTGAAAACTTTAATTGATTTAACTAATTCATATTTTAGTCATAGTATATATATATATATATATATATATATATATAT